GGGGCTAGATCAGAGGTAGATTGCTGTTGTGGCCCAGCAGGAGCCGTTGGAGCTGCCACCAGACTCCGACAGTGAGGGGCCCTATGAGTCGGCTCTGGAGGATATGGAGGACCCTGGACAGGGTTCCGACTCCGAGCAGGGTGCAGAGAGGCTGGTTGGTCACCAGGAGACACCTAAGCCTTGGACCAGTGGGGAGGAGACAAGGGATGTGATCCTGACGTCAGCAGTGAGTTATTCCTGGATGCCCGGCACCGGAGAGCTAATAGGCGTAAGGAACAGTTGCGTAGTTACAGGAGGTAATTGCACTCAGCTGCTGGTAATTAGGCTCCTCTCCAGACTATAAAAGGAATGATTGTGCACACACCCTTTTGCAGAAGTCAATGCATTAACGAATGTTGGAGAACAGGATTATGAGCTTGGCAGGCTGGATTGCTGCCACGGCTTATCTGTGTTGGATTGCTGCCCAGACTTGTCTGTACCGGTTTGCTGCCAAGGACCTGTCTGTCTGTTAATAAATTCCATAAAGTATGTTTGGCTTGGAGTGTGTTGGTGTGGGATGAGGGGGGTCAGAACAGGTTGCTACCAGTTCGTACTGGTTCAGGTGAACCGGTAGTGGAAATTGGCACGTGTTCACTGAACCGGTAGGGACGGCAGGCTGGACACGCCCCCGAACCGGTTCCCTGGTTTCTACAGCCGTTGCCGGCTTGGTTTTTAATCATTTCTTAATTGTCTGCGTATGTGCAGAACAATTTACTCTCAACTGTGCCTGCGTGCGTGTAAAAAACGAGCGCGCAGCGAACCAGCAGCAATGCCGGTAGCAACTCGCCCTGGGCTAGTTGAATCAAAAATTGGAATTAAGATTACCGGGAGAAATATCAATGACCTCAGATATGCAGATGATATTACTCTAATGGCAGAAAGTGAAGAGGAACTAAAGAGCCTCTGGATGCGGGTGAAGAAAGAGAGTGCAAAAGTTGGCTTGAAGCTCAACATTAAGAAAAATAAGACCATGGTATGTGGCCCTCTCAATTTCTGCCAAAAAGATGGGGAAGTGTCCCCTCCATCCAGTAATGAACATAGACACAGGCTTAGGTGTTTGCCACTCTTTATTCACAGCAATTATAATCCTGTTGGCTGAAAGCCCAGACACGACTCACTGGCAAGACGTTGGCAACAATCCAGACTCCAATAGACACGGGAATACAAGGCAGACCAGACAAGGAGTTCTCCAGATTATTACGAACGGTT